CATCTCTTTATCCACAATTTAGGCAATTTGTACACTGATTTACGTTTTCTCGAAGATGTTTAGGTTTTCTGAGTCACACCAAATATAAATCAGAAGTATGAGAACTGAATTCAAAAAATAATCATCGACAGCTGAAGGTTAAATATGGGCAAAAAATTTAAGAGGGATACTCAATCGCGTTACCCAGTGAATGTAATATTCCGGTAGTTCTTAAGTGGAATTACTCTTTTGCGTATATTATATAGTCTAATATATATTGTATACATTCAAACAATATCTACGATTGTGTATACAATTTGAATGGTCAGTAATAATTTCGTCTATTAGATTCCTCTTTCAAGACCAATGGTGAATGCAGCCGAAGCAGAAGAATATTTTAATAGTGTGGGCCTAAGCTACCTATACCACTTTTGACACAATATCAGACGTAATTCAGTCTCTGACGATGAAGAATATAAAAACTTCATAAGTATACTAAAGCTGTATTCAATTCGTCAGACATTGAAAAGCTGTGAATCGAACAAACAATTGGTCGAAATGAATAAGACTCGCATAATATATCAGAGAGAGAAAAGCTGGTAATTATACCCCTTTCATTGAGGTATCCTTTCCTTTCGACGAAAGAATAGAGCTCAAGCATAATAAGTGAGAAGTGACAAGTCAAACACACTTTATAGAGTTAGTCAGAGACATAAAAAACTACAATTTTAAATTATTTTATTTTATAAAAATAAAAACATAGCAAATAATTTCAAAAGTATTGGCGGTTTGTGTTGATACAGTTCCAACCGAAGCTCCGTGCGGTGACCATATTAAACCTTTGAGAATCATCTAAAATCAATCGGACAAAGAAATTAGTTTTGTTAACAGATAATCTAGCGCCTTATCGAACTTTGTTAAATTAAAAAAATGGCGGTCTTGGGTAAATCTATTCCAGATTTTCGGGAAAACACAACAATTATTTGTTTATAAAAAATTGAAATTACATTAAAAAAATCCCTCGATCATACATTAGCTTTTCATGTTTAAAAAAAACTGTATACATTTCATTGAAATCTACCGAGTGATTTTCAAGTTGCAGTGGTCACCAGTTCGAATGACATAGTTTTGAGAAAAACGAATTTGCAGTTTTACGCTCTAGTTCCTGAGCGCCCGAGAACCCTTTACAAATTATTGAATAATTCGATACTAACATTGAGAACGGTCTCAAATAAAAAAAACAAAAACAAGAAAAAACGATAACTTTGGTTGCACCGAAGCTATAATACACTTAACAAATACAAACACTTCCCTACAAAAACTTGATTCCGATCTTAGAAAGAAAAATACGAGTATAAAATTCCATAACGATATCTCAAAACCTAAGGGGTTAGCTCGCGTATATACAGATAGACAGTCAGACGGGAATGGCTAAATCGACTCAGCTCGTTATGCTGATCATTTATGTATATATTTTATAGGGTATCCGACGTTTTCTTTTTGGTGTTACAAAAAAAAAGGTAGTATTTTTTCGAATTAGTATCTAAACGTATACTGTTATTTCTTTTTTCATAATCTTGCAACATGTTGCTACAGTGTATAATACAAGTAGTTTTGCCTCATCTAAAAATATTCAAGCTAGATATCAAGTTATATACATAAATGAATGATCAGGATGACGAGACGAGTGGAAAAATTAGTGACTGTCTGTCCGTCTGTCCATGAAAGCGATAACTTAAGTAAAAATTGAGATTTCCAGATGAAACTTGGTACACATATGCATTGGCACCCAAGGGAGGCTGATATTGCAAATGGGGGAAATCGGACCATTACTAGTCCATTAAACTGTAATTTGTTATAGGAGATCGCAGTAATCAGAGACACTTGTGGGCTAAAAAAATTTTTAAAGTAGGAATGGCTCCGCCCCTAAATGGATAAATGTACATATCTTGCAAACCGCTTAAAATATATCAACTTTACTTGCTGAGTATAAGTGATTTTATCACCTCTTCAAACTCTGAAAATGGGTAAAATCGGATAATAACCACGCCCACTTCCATATAACGGTTATGTTGAAAGCTACTAAAACTACTACAATTAATATAACAAAAATAAGGATGGTAGAGAGAGCCAGATCCTAAGGTGTGAAAATTGGAGGAGCGTGGCACAGACAACCTTTAGAGGAAATCCTATATCTCAGAAACTACTTTACCGATTTCCACCAAATTTAGCGTGTATGAGACACTGCAGAAATGGGCGACGTAGATGATATCCACGCCTAATTCCTACATAGGAAACTTTTAAATTATTTCTGATTCTTTCACTTTACTGTATACAAATCAAACATCAATAAAGTTATCAGAATAAAACCTTGCACAAATAGTACCCTCAAAGTATATCATCTAACGTCCAAAGAATCGCAATATAACTTGTACCAAAAATGGAAAAAAGCAGGTCAACACTTCCCTTAGCCCTCATATAACTAACATAAATATTTTCGATCTCCGGTTCACTTTATACCGCATCTATAGGTCAATATGTAAGAAACTTCAATGTAATTTAAAAAGAACCTTTTTCTAATTACAATGACACTTTCTTAAGTTTGATATAAAGTTTTGCCAAATCCTGAAGGTGTTCCTCCACCCTTGTTCCTTGCAAGTTACAAGAAATGTTCAGTTACACCCGAACTTAGCTCTCCGGGACTTGTTTCACTTTCCAGTATACAAATTAAGCACTAATTAATATATCGGGATAAAAATTTGAACGAATACTTCCTTTAAGGCTATCTCAGGTCTAAAAATTGTCAAAATCGGGCCATAACTATTCAAGCCCCCAGACATCAGAAATGTGGAGCCCAGAGCCTATGGCTGGCTTAAAGAATAATCTAATATAAAGATTTTCGAACTTCCAGTTGCCTTTATGTGGTATATCGGCCAATGTGCTAGGTATTTTTAGGAAATAAAGATAGCGCGTTTTTCTTATAGAAGTGCATTAAATGGATAAAATCGCGCAGAAACTTGTCTTAGTCCCCATATAACTGATATTCATGATTTAGAAACGTTCAGGTAACTTTACTTCATCTACAAGTATATGTTTATATTTATATATTTTAAAAGTGCTTGAAAATAAGTTCTAATGTATACCTTAGCAATGTCAAAAATTAATTAATCATCCCTTTCATTTCTCTGCCGCCAATGATTTTAGTATAATTATCACAGACGGAAAGTAGAATATAGTAATAAAACTAAGTGAATCTATGACCTTTAAAATAAGTTAATATAATATCAAATTTGATTGTAATCCATTCAGCATTTCGTCAAACAATGAAGATGAACATTTTCGCTACATTTCTTAATATAAAGTTTTGCCAACACCTGAAGGTATTTCCCTGGCTCTGATCCTTGCATGTTGTAAGAGTATGAAATGTTCGACTACACTCTCATAATAGTCGTTTCTTACTTGTTTAAATATACATTTCAAAAAAGCCATCAAAGATATCTACATTAGGGCGGAGCGAAATTTTTTTTTTATATTTTTGCTTAGCCTGGGGGTAAAATCTGTATATTATATTTAAAAAAGAAATTTTTTGAACAAAAAATTTTTATTTTTACATCTAGAGACGGCGCACTCAGTTTTAAGTAAATTTCGAGTAACAATTTTTTTTGGACAAGAAAAATATATTTTTGATTTAAACTCTTTATATTTATATAAAAATTACCGAATGTGACGGTTTTTGACTAAAATTTATTTTAACGCTTAAGGAAAGCATGTTGTCGTTTAAGGCTTTTTTTTAAACTCCAATAATGACCACAAACATTTTTTTTAAGTCTCCACAGCTTCTAGAACACTTATCAAAAATTTTTTACGAAATAAAAATTTAACTTAAAAATTTACTTTAAAACTGAGTGCCGCCTCTAGATGTTAAAAAAAAAATTTTTTTTTGTCCAAAAATTTTCTTTTTTTATTATCTAGAGATTTTACCCCCAGGCTAAGCCAAAAAATTAATTTTTTTTATCACTCCACCCTAATATACATATATATATGCTTATATATACATAGGTAACAGTTTTAAAAATTTAATAATAAATCGCAATTTTTTACTATATTTCTTCATAATCGCCACAGAATCATTTGAAATTCAATTGAGGTACTAACTCGATTCAGGTTTTTAAACATGTTCGCTTTACATGGTTTAACCTTTAACTTCCAATAGTGTTTTTATATTCAAACAAGCACACATTGTTCGAGTGCTAATTCCTACTTATGCAGGCATTATAACAGCATTTCGCAAACAACCGTTAATACCTGCGTTTATAAATACCTCCAATACATAACCTGGAAATGAGTTTAATATGTAATTTTTAATTACATTCACAATTGATTGATTTAAGTCAATACAATTGCAAGGGATCAGAGCATATAGTATATAAATAAAAATATATATATGTACATATGTATAAAAGTATTATATACGAATATATAGATGTACGTATATATTTGTGCACAACTGTTTAAATCAATGAAAAAATAACACTGTTTTTTATTTATGTGTATTTTTTGCGATATTGACTGACTGCGGTTATATCCGTTTATTATTAAAAATGATTTTTAAACTTGTTATTTAATATTTTTACAGTGACAAGCTCATTTATACACGTACAATACTACGAGTATGTGGTGCAAATACATACATGAGCTGGCAAAACTTAAATAGGATGGCTTTTATAGCAATTTTCTCTTAAGTGTATCATAATCATCAATAACGTATTAGTATTAATTCGAATTTCTTTCGAATCAAATCGTAGTAGCTGTTATGTAAAAAAACTTATATTCATTTTCTTTTATATACTGTTCATGTTCTTTTATGTAATAGCTTAATTATAGCCAACATTTATTGACTATATTTAGAATGAAACGTAATATACATTTCGATTAAAAAAAAATTTGTAAAGCAAATATGCCAATGGTAAACAAATTATATTCGAAAAAATATATAATAATCCCCAATTCAAATAAAGCGCTTTACTATTTCAATGATTATAACTTTTTTTACAAAATAATTTTTTAAATATTGGCACAACAAGCAGTAGTTTCTTTTGTTAAAGTCCCAAAGTCAACATCAGAATATATCCAAACAATTTTATTGTTCTATAAGTCTACAACTTACTGAATTGAACCACCCTAAGTGAAGTATATTTGAAAATAGTTCCCGTCGAACTAAAATGTACAAAAATTATTAACAAGGAATTTAATTAAATCATATTAAAATTATTATTTTAATTCACGACGCTTTGTACTGATAATAGTGATAAATTTAAATCAAAAAAGATAGAAAAATAAATTTATACAAACAAGGAAGTTCTGAGTTTGGCTATAACCATACATTTTTTACTCTTGCAACTTGCAACAATCAACGCCCACCCTTCAGGTGTTGGTAATACTGTATATTAAAAATGCTGTGAAAGAATTAAATATCCATTATTCGTTGAAATCGTGAATAAATAACAATCCAATTTGGTATATTCTTGACTTATGTTAGAGGCCATAAACTTAGACTTGTATGTTGTAATTGAGTGCTAAACCACATAATTTTTAAGAATACCTTTCCACATATTTCACTAAAATATCACACATTTTGACCAATCTAAACGGTAACAAGACAAGTGGAAAGACAGAAATCATTTTATGGGGTATATTGGCGATAGAGAAAGTTACGGGCTGATTGCATTGATTTTGACATTGTTCAGGTATAATCGAGAACATATTTTGAAGCAATTTTATATATAAATAATACTCACTGACCGACATATTCGGTATAAAACTTGTTATAATAACGAAAATCATTATAAGTTTCAATGTCATCGGATTTCAACTCGTCTCAACATACTGGTCACTTATATATATATTTGCCACCCTGTATTTATCTCGATTTGTTTTAAGTTATAGAAACCACCGTTAGATGAACAAAACTATTACACTCTGTAGCAACATGTTGCAAGAGTTAAATCTTAATCTAAAAATAAAATAAAGAACGCTGGAGAATACGCTGAACGATAATAAAGGTATTATTTTGTTTCCCTCAAATTTTTACTAAACTGTTTTTCTATTTAGAACAAAACAATTCCTTGAAGAATAACTAGATAAAATCTTAAGCTAATACCATCTGATTAAATTTCTTTCGGACTGTTCGTGTTGGCATCAGATAGCAGGGGATTTATACATCTCTTATGATTTGACTTAACATATTTTGGTTAACGTTTTAGGTATAAAGCATGTCAGAGCTAGACTCATACCATAAGACCTGAACTTTTTGCAAGAAACGACGTCGAGTGACATATAACATCGAAAACTGTGCAACAATCTAGCGAATGACGCTCCCAAAAATTTGCCGAAAGTGTTTTGAAAATTGGATTAACCGTTGGTATGCTTGTATTGGAACTCATGAACTCATTTTGAAGGCGGTCATAAAGATTTATATTAAAATACGTGAAAATGTAATTTTTTATTTTTCATTCGGGGTCAAATTTGATCACATGGTATAGCATTGCTCTGACCGTGGTTGGAACCATATGAGTTAGACACAACTTGATATTATTAAGACTTTTTTAAAATTGGATTGCTGTAATATAAAAATCTGCTACGATCGGATGACATCTTCTATTTTAACTCAAACAAGCTAGCAAAGCACTCCTGTTCAATTCAAGCATATAATTTGTTACGAATACATTCTGGCATTTTTAACAAAATATTTCTATATAAAATAGATAATTTTCATTCCAGCAAGCACCACTCATCACCACCAGCTCAGTAAATCGCAAAGTATATAAGCTCTTGTAATCATATATAAGAATACACTCCGCTATAAATATGCTGCAGAGCAGTGAATATCATCAACTTAATCTGTCGTCTTCCAACATATTTTTCTAGCGACAAAAATGCAACGTTCATATATACTGACTAGTCCTGCAGCGATCGCATTACGACATTTCTCAACAGCGACGGAGACAAACAGCCATAGATGTCATGCAATGTGCAACAAACACACAAAATAACTAAGACAAAGCAAAGTCAGTGAAATAAGAAGAAGAAGAAGCAACTGAGTGCCAGTTGCCTCCCCGCAGCGAGTGAACTTCATTAAATAGAAAAATTTTCACTCATTGTTCATATACCCACTTCTAGAATGAGGTAACTGCCTGTGAGTGCATGTGTGTGTGTGTGTTGTCGCATTCTTGCGAAATAATAAACTACATCAACAAATTGACTGCACTCACTTCAATACTGCTATATTACTTTATTATTATGATAAGTGTGTATATACCTATAAACATATATAAGTAATGTATGTATGTGCATTGCAACTCACCTCCTGCCAATGAATCGTCGCTTCTGTGTAGCGCAGACTTGTGTAGATGTGCATGCACGACAACACGATGCCGCCAATGAGGGCTTCACGCAGACGCAGCGGCAACATTGTGTATGTCATGTAGATGAAGACAACACAACAGGAACTACCATTGTATGACTTGCTGCAAAACAGAGGGAGAAATGTAAGTAAACACATTCACCCATACTTGTACATACCATAAATATAAAGAAATAAGTGAGATAAATCGAGACTCCTGGGGTAAAGCGCAAGAAGTAATAATTTAATGAGGTATGCTTGTATATGTGTGGAGGAGTGTGTGTGAGTTTATACTTTACAGAGTGAGCATATGCAAGAGCACACATACTCTGATACATGTAATACGAGTATATATAGCCAACAAGCAGCGCATGTTGCGTATACGCCACAGGTGCCTGTGCGTTTGTTATTCGCTTTGGAAATACAATGTGCTTAAGAACGAATTTTTAATAAAAAAAAAAATGTAAACCAAATTTTTTTCGTGCGAGGGATTCTATTTGTTCGTGTTTTTGCTTTGGAACACGAAATCACAGCTATTAATTAGACAAAGCATAAATGTATTATGAAATGCCTAAAATGTAAGTGCAAATAAAATCCGCTAATTAATGTCAACAACATTAATACCCCTCACTAATAGACAAGTTTGCGATAAAAACAATTTTTTCGGAGATTGTAGCACTGCCTTTAAAAGTAATCTATCCCAAATTTCGGTAAAATATCTGATCAAATAAAAAAGTTTTCTATACAAGGACGTGATTTTGACAGTTCAGTTTTGTATGGCAGCTGTATGCTATAGTGGATGGATATCGGCGGCTGAACAGCTTCTTAGGAAGAAAAATTTCCAAAAAACTGAGGAACTATTTCGCCAGTATAACGACTGAAAGACAGAAAGCATGGCTAAGTGGACACAATTCGTGACGCCGATCATTTTTATGTGTATACATATATGCATATATATTGTAGGGCCTGCGACACTTGTTGTGACAAACTTAATATACCCTGTTCACGGTATAATTATAATAAAGCAGATACAAGTGTTCAACATCCATTACTCTTTTTGCAAATGAAAAAGGCAAGCTATGGCATAATATAAATATTTAAAATTGTTTATGTAATAAATTAATTATATTGGAATTTATAAATATTTTTTTCAAATATAAATAATTAATAAGATTTTATGTTTTTTCCTGGAGGCTATTAGCAACACATTACTGTTTTCTAAAAAAAAAATTAAGTAATTTGGTATACTCGTAGAAATGAGGTATTTTAGTAGAGAATTTAAGTTTTTTGCCTCCATTTTTTTATTAATAATTTAATTAAAGTAATTATTTAATTAAAGTAAAATTCAACATCGAAACTCAATCAAATAAGATATTAGTTTTAAAATACGCAAATTCAGCGCACTTAACTGAAATGCATCTAACTTCGTAATATATTTGCATATTGCACCAATTATACACGTATTCTAATGAAGCATTGCATAAATATATGAAATAGCATAGCTGAATTGCAAAGCGCTGCTGCCTATTAACTTTCAATGTGCGTTATAGTTTAAAGTTCTGTAGACAAGCTGCCAAAACTACTAGCAGTGAAGCATATTAAATGCAACCAAGCGCAGTCAGGAGCTTATTATGCGCACAAACTCTGCCCACACTTGATTCGTAGCGAGTACAAAAGTGCTCAGAAGGTGAACACGAATGCACTATTTTTAGCAGCCAAACAAGTCCAACTTATACATAAATCCATACAAATATACATATGCATCCACGATCGACACACATAATGGAAGCATTGTTTACGACAAAGCAATCGATGTTCAATACTCAATATACTCACCTTGGCAACGTCGCATAGCCCACGGCGATTTCGATGCCAACAAATGTGCCTACAATTACGTAAGACACCAGCACCAGGAAGATCTCATTCATTGCCGGTTTCGAGAGTATGCACAATAGTGCTGCAACAGATAGCAAATAGAAATTAAATTGAATTAATTAAATAAATAATATTGTACAATAATATTTTCCATATGATTTAATTGAGTTCACTTGAATTAAGTTAAGGGTTCCGCATGTTGCAAAATGGAAATTAAATTAATTAAATGGCTTCTGGACGGGGATGTGTCGAATTTTCATCGATTTGTACAAATTTTATTAACTTGTATTACATTCAAAACTTTGTGCGGTAATCTTTTACTAATACCGCCCGATTTTTAAATGTGAAAGTAGACGCAATAATTTCCTAATACCGGTTAGTTTATGTAGTGGCTAACCACTAGTACTACTCCAAATACAATATTACTTACTTCAATCAATCTTAAATACAGAAAAGCGTCGGTTATTTTGAGTTCTTTTAAGTTTCTTCGAATATTTTTGAGCCTTTTCGAGTCCTTTCTAGCTCTGATATATATTCAAAATTTCGTAGGATGAGCAACATAAATATAATACGTTCTAATTAACTTAGTATTTATGCTGTGCTACCATGTGATCAAATTTGACTTGGACTGATTCATTTAAATGACGCTAGCAAACCGAACAGATAAAATAAAAACTGGTACACACTTTTAAAATTGGATTGAGAATTGGCAGGATTGAATTGGCTCCGGAGCCTATTTTGAAGGCGATAATAACATTTGCATTAAAATACGATAAAATGTAACATCTTTGCTAATCCGAGTAAAATATGATATCATGGCAATTCTTATTGAGTTTATAGATCGTAAAAAGTATAGTAAATTAATACTCAACCGAAGTCAATCACTTTAAAAATTCAGGGAAGGAGTCAGCCATGTGTGCTTCGGTCGTAATTAAATACCTCACGGTTAAAAGAAACTAAGGTCTACATTTATATTTGCATTTTCTCCTAGAAAAATAATGAACATTTAACTGGCATCAAATAAAAACGAGCAGTAAGTAACAGTAAACCACGCTTTGTGCTAAAAGCAAAAGCTGACATTTTAGAAATTCGCTGCCAACTGATTTGTGACCCTCACAGCCTTCATTGCCACTCTAACCCAACGAGCTAACCACTTTTCACTTCTTACTGGCGATACGCTTATTGATCCTTCGACATATGTACTACAATACTATGTACTCACATGCATAGACCAGCACACAAATTGTCATCACCACAAGAAAGACCAGTACACGTTCATCAATTGCTGACAGCGCTTCGAGCAGCAGACGCAAGTCGGGGTAAGCGCCGTTTCCGGACGCAGCTGTGATTTCTTCCACATCACCGGGCATTGCCAACGGCTCGACTTGCTGCTGTTGCTCTAATGAAGCTTTCGTAGCCAACAGATTTGCCATACGCTTGCCACCGCCATCATTTTCTGGTATAGACCCATCTGCTGTCGCTGTCGCCGCCACAATTGTGTTGGTTGCATTGTACAGCGTGTGCTCATTTATGGTGTCGTGGTGCCCGGTCGTCATCGTCGTTGTCACATTTCCATTGCTGCGCACGTTATAGTCCACTTCATCAACTGTACGTGCCATATGTTGTTTGTAATTGTTGTTGTTATTATTGTTTATATAAATCTTTTCATTATTTTTTCCAGTGTCAAGTGAATCCTCACCAATATTTGTTGTGACTTCCGCTGTCGCTTCACTTATACTAGGTCCTGCTGCCAATTGTTGGTCGTATTTCATGGGCACAGCTAATCGGCTCGTATATCTAGTATATTCGGGCATTGATGGATCCTGTTTCCGCGCAAAACTTCGCACATTCCATGGCATTCGCAGAGCGCTGTCATGATTTCGTTTGCGTCGCATAATTCGCACTCGCCTCCTTTTCGGTCGTCGAGGTTCCAACTCCACACTTGCCGCTGCCTTATGCTCTGCTTGCAGGTTGTTGTCGTAATGTGATGATTTCAATCTGTATTGATCGAGGTTGGAAAGAAAGAGCACCAAGCACGTAAATCAGATTTATATATCATTGTATGTAGGCATGTATGTGTGTATGTAAGGGCATATAAATGAATTACTGCATCATTTGTCATAACATAATAAATAAAATTAATTTCATACATTTATATGGTATACCATGGCATATTTGTTGAAAGAAAAATGCTGAGGAGTATGTTTTACAGAGCAATTACCAATAGCATTGAGTTTACACCTATGGATTTAGATATCACAATGGACCGGCTTTCTCAGATCTCCAAGTTGAAACCGTTTTTGTACCTTTCAACCGAACGTATGCGAACAAAAATCAAGATTATGGAATTTTTGAGAAGCTTGAATGTTTAAAAAACGTCTAAAATAGCTGTTTCTAGGCAATGTTAACGGAACTTCAGTGAGTCATCCATAACCGAAATTTACAAAATCATTACAGTCAGACTTATATAACACAGAACCAAACGCCATAGGAATGAGAATGTTGGGCCAGCATGATTGTTGGTTAATGGTTCTGATATATTACAATAAACTCGGTCATACTATAGAAAATAAAGTTAAGTGAGTGCCGAATAAAATATTAGCTGATTTTCAAATTGTATGACACATCTCTCTCTCTCTCTACCATCCTCATAACTTATTGAAATCATATGTTGATGTTATTAGATCTGATCTCTACTGCGATCGGTGATATTCAGAACAGGATTGAAAGCATGAAAAGAGTACTGCTCAGCTTTCAATTAGAGATTGATACCAAAATAAAATGTCGAACAAATATTGAATATAAGGAAAGATCATAACTTGTTCAAAAGAATAATATGCTAGAACTGGAGATTGGCTTGGAGGGCTCACTAAATAACTTCCATATGAATCATATGAAACCATTCGTTTCTCTGATGCAGTTGGGACGACACTTCCATAAACAATTCTTTTTTGGAAACTTTAAAGTAAGTAAAAGGATGGAGGCACTAATGTTCAGGCGTAGTTTTCCTTTAGACGGAATACATTAAAAGACGCTTTGAGGGAGAATTGACACTGCCTCAATCCACTCCGAATGAATCAATTTCATCAATGTTATAAGCTGTGGCAATCATGTTCAATTAAGACACCTTGATAAATAAATGAACAAAAGTACACAAACATTAGCTGTATTTATTTTTATTTTGAAATTTCAATGAGCTTATGAGCCAGAAAATTGTATTCTATTGAAAATCAAAGCCAAACTAATACCAAATTGAAACTAAATATATGAAGAAAAAATATAATTTTCTATTATCTTTTTTACCCATGCCAGTATTACACAAGCACGTGCCTACAACTATACAAGTACAAGAGACATATCCGTTGTTAGTGGTAACTAATAAGACACAACTCCAAACATGTCGACAAAATACAAAAATATTTGTATCAATTCTCCAATGAACTCTACAACTAGAATTTCCTTACAGATATGAACTAGTTCGAAAAAGACTAGACTATAACTTCATATTATTATTTAATATAGTTAAGGACACAGAAAAATATGAAATAAAATTTATTGTTGTGAATATTTGCTCAAATCATTAAGAAGTCATAATCAAACCATAGATATAGAATCTGAGCAAATAGCCAATGAGTACACTGCCCTACAAAACAAGTATTTTTTCTTTTGCTACCCAAAACTACTACAAATAATATTCCAAAACATGGAGAGCGTCCTGAAGGCATTAATAAATAATTCAGCTTTGTGAAATGATGCCAGATACACAGAAAGCCAAATGTGAAAGCCTAAAAAAGTCTGACACTGAATGTGCTCACTGGCTATTGTAGGAGTTGCTGGAGTTGATGGAGAAAGTGTGCAAAAATAGAAAGCTTGTGATATGTCAGAAAGTTAATTCTCACAAGAAATTATGACCAGTTTAGTTCGCCAACTGACATGCACAACAACAGCAAATACAAATACATGTCTGCCCTTTCTGACCGGCTTAAGATATTAAAGCAAGCCTTTTTGTAACGTTTTGTTGGTTATTTGTATTTATAACATAATGTTAAAGCAAATATACTTGTATGCTGTTTGGACGCTGAGCCTATGCATGTGTTTGATATAGTTGCCTGGGCCATGCACGTAAGCGTCGCACTTCATCTGAATTTTGGCATTTTTAGTGATAACATAAAGGCTTTGACATAATTTTCTGCCTATGGGAGTTGGCTTGCTTTGAAACAGGTTCATTGCCTTTTCATCGATTGGCTAGTCTCAAGTTAAGATATTAAAGGCAAATTACAACTATTATGTGCTTTGTTCTTGCTTGGTTACATTTTATACTCCTTGATGATTAAGCTGAGTAAACTAGTCTCTTTGGGTTGATCAAAATAATCTCACTTTAATATTCAGCTTAGCATAGCTTCCTATACCATTATTTTAAATGCAGAAAAAGTTATATATTTATTCAGCTTTTTGATTTAACCAATTCCATTGAAAATACATTTAACTTTCATTGCCTTATGGTGTTTATATGTCAATAGCGATTTGTAACCCCAACGTAAGGTCATATTTTATACGCATTCTAATTTTTTTTCCTTTTATTCACAGTTATTCAAGTCAAAGTAAATTGAATTATTGTCTGTTCCGTTTTTCATTTTTCACAACATTTCCTATTTGATGCGCCATCATTGCATTTATTCATGTTTTTCACTTTAATTCTTTTTAACGGCCTTAATGTCAACCTTTTCTGGAAGTTGCTTTGCCGCCTAATATTTATTGACGTCTCTGCGGCATTTAGAAACTTATCGCAAAAATTTATGCGCGGGCTCCCACGCTTGATGCTAACTTTTGTTGTTGGTGTAAGAAAGAGAATAGAAAAATAGATTTTTCATATCGCGAAACTCATAAATTTGCTTTAAAAGTCAAATTGTACGCGTAGAAACCCCAATATTTTTGCTTCTCTTTGCAATAAATGGTTAAGCTCATGAAATTCTATATAAAGCAGTGTATTGGTATTTTGAGTGAAATATTTAAAAAGATGTGATGTATTATTTCGTCAGAATCGTTTTGGTCGGCCTAATGGTCTCAGCGCAATCGGTTGTTGCGGTAGTGGGAATTTTTCTATATAGAGCTATATAGAGAGAGTATCTATGTATTATTATAAGTAGAATTGGAGTTAATAGTTCATGGACTGTTAAGTCAGTGTTTGGTCATAAATCCCATCGTATAGCTCAAAACCGGGAAGTATTTTTGTAAAATTTCAAATAAGAAAACCAAGTTGTAGTTGCTCGTGTTGGTGGTACCTACATCGTACCGCGACCGAACGAGAATTTGGTTAGAAATTTCAAAATTCACTCACTACCACTACGCAGAATAGGCAATGGTTAATCTCCTAGAGTGTTGCTGACAAAAAAAAATTCTCCTACAACCTAGTAGGTATCTGCAGTCGGCTTGAATCTAGTTGATTCCTTCATTATTCGTTAAATCACCACTGCAGCTCACTGAAAAGGGGAGAAGAAACTCGTCCAAGCATACAAATGGGTTGAAAGCACAAATAATATTGTATATACCATAAACAAAGACGAATTCCCAAAAATCTCAGAAATGTTATAAAATAATTGATCCAAATCAAATTCTTTGAAAGAACACTATAAGAAACCAAGCTGACTTAACTTCAAGTACTCCTGAAGTCTCTGAATTGTAACGCCGTATATACTGATAACTCCCTCTTGACAGCTAAAGAGCTAAAGCTACTGAATAATAAGGTTCAATAAATCCTTACAGTGTAAGCTCACTGCATTATACAAGCCAGATAAATCACTTGCTTTGGTTCGTTTTAACAAATTCAAATTAGAAAACTATAAGCAACAATAGTTTCCATTATGCAATCTATAAATGAGTACTCACCTGGAACGCTTGAAGCGATGCAACTTCGGCCAAGGGCTGTGCTGATGGTATTTACGCTTAAGGCGCTTAAAAGCCGCTGGCGCTTGCAGCCACCACTTCGAGCTGCTTCGTCGGTCGATTGCATAAGCAACGCGTTCGCTGAGAGGCAAGGGTGCGATGAAAATTTGCGGATCACGCCAGTCTTGCGCCGCATAGGGTAGGTAAGTTGATGATTTCGTGGTTATAGGCGGTGCAATGGTGGTGGCTGGGCGTAACGACGGCAATGTAACCGATGATAATGTTGGTGGCAATGTTGGAGTTTGCTTGAATGCCGCACTTGCCACAAATTGTTGTGCGCTAATTTCCACCGTCGTGCCTAAGTCGTCAGCAACATCACCAACAATTACATGCCCGAACAGCGGCAGCGTTGAGGACCCGCTCAGCGTAGTGGCAGTCGGGGCCAACTGTCGGCTTAAGAGTTGCGCCTGGTGATTGCCCATTTCCGTTAATGTTAAAATTGAGGTTGCCACCGTTGCGCTGCCATTACTCGCGCCGATAACAACACCACCAACGCCACCGCCACCAGCAACAGTGTGGCTGCCATCATCGTCGCTCATGCTGTTAGCCGCATTATTGCGCGTGTCGTTCGTTGTGGCGAAAATTGTTCCCGTCGTGCTGCGACGCAGCTGCAGTGTGGTAAAGGCGATTTGCGCACTCGACAAAGCCACAATCAACGCCAGCAGCAACGCCAGAATGTGTGTCGTGTTGCTCTGATTCATGCGCAGAAAGTAGCGCTGATAAAGCATTTCCACCTGCAATGAAAGCAAAGTGCACGATGCGGTGAGCTCCATCGGTACATACATACAAAATACGTAAAGTGGAAAAGTTTGAAGCAGAAAAAATGTGTTGCGGAATTAGTAACACGAAAAACATTTCTGGCGGCAGCCCCTCACCCGTCTCTTAAGCCACTGACTGCCAATTGCGTTAAACTTTCGCAATGAAGTTAGACGCTTTTGAAAATATTTACTCTACGGGCTACTTGCAAACTACATAATAGAATAGACAGCTTTGTAGATAAACTATCTGGGAAATTATGTGAAGCGAGGCATAAGTAATTGAATAGCGAAAGGGCTGGCAAAATATTGGAGGGAAGTGAGGCGAAGAAACTTTACGTACCAGTGCAAAAGCCTTTGAAAATAGTAAACACTGAAAAAAATCACAGAAGGACGAAACCCATTGCAAAAGAAAGATGAAATAACAAAAACGGTAGGAAAACTAATTTATGGGCGATCTGACGTCGGGTAGAGGACGGGAGAATTTTCCAATGAAAATTAGCGTACATTTTCGAAAATGATGTGAAAAAAATAACTATTTTATAAAACAAAAAAATGCAATGTGCTTGGAAGATAAAAAGGTAAGACAAATTTCTTTAAAAAAATATTGGACTAAAATAAATCATGAAAAACTTGGTTATTTGAAATTTTCACATACATATTGAGATTATGTGAAAAGGTAAATACAAAAGTTATAGAAAGAAACCGTTTTTATCTCTTAAAACTTCAAACACTCCCTTCCTTTACTCTTCCCAACCTCTGATCGTCCTTAAATTATTTTTCCCTTATTTTTTTTTATTTTACAGGACAAACCTTTTCAAGTACGCTGCAAACAAATTTAGATTCATAAATGATTGCGCTACTAAAATTCACTCATTTCGACACATGTACACTTAGAAAACATTTTTAGCAGTTATGAACAGCTTTGCTCTACACTCAGCCCACAATCTCTACCCTACAATAATCAAATGACAGAAGTAGCTTCGGCTTCTATAATATAATCGAGCGCTCGTTAACGCCCACTTCAGTTGCCCTTAGGCTACTGCTATGTATTCGTGCTAATTTCAGTAACACCATTAATATATGTTTATATGCGTTAAATAGTGCCCGAAAGTCCCACTGGAAAACACATACACATTTGCGGTCGCAAAGGTAAACATGTTGCGGTGCAGGCCTATTATCCTTTCACGGAGCACGTGCTGTGAACACATTAACGAAATGTAATTACATTGGCGAAAGCATAAGCTCAGTGCGGAAATTGGTTTTGCAAAATATTGCCGACGTTAATATATACTTGTATGCAGTATTTGTATTTACATTTGAGCTTGTGTATGTGTGAAAATAGTTGTCAGCCCAAGCTATGCAAATGAGAGTATACCTACTGTACTGAACTCTTGGCTTTATAATTTCTTTTGGGTAGCAGAATTTCTACATTTCTGATAATTTTTCTAAAATTTTTAAGTAACTTTTCATAAATATTTTCTTTTCATATTCCTTCAAAATGCATTTAAGAAACCTTTAACTTTAATATTCTAGTTTGTCGGATCTCCTTCAGACAACAACAATTTATTAACGCTCAATTGCCAACTGCCAATTTGCATGCACATTACCGGCGGCACTTCAACCGTTCCCCCCCGGCCGCGCGGCGTTTCAATTTCGCTCCGTGCGATTTGTTTTACATATTTTTTATGCTAAATAGTCTCGGTTGTGCATGGTAAATAGTTGATTGGTTGGACGAGCAAGCGCGTACCCTATATGCAAACACACGTGCACCGCACACATATGTACATACATGTGTTTGTAAATACGTACCTGTAGATTTTTAAATTGATGTGTTGTACAAAGGCGTAGGATAACACGATTCAAACGAAACCAAAATGAAATCGTCGGACTTAGGCCGCCCACGCCGCCACCGGTGCCATTTGCATTGCTGCCCACCTCCATGTTGCGTCCATCCATCGATTCAGAATCTGTTGAGCGAGAAAGAAGTGGCAACTATACAGACAAGCAAAATAACTAGCAAACATTAGTGGATATAGATATATGTGTGTATGTGTTAACTAAATCTATATTCAGAGCACAAGTACGCCTGTTCGATTATGTATGAGTTGCTATATGTATGGTATATGTTCTTGTACAAACTCTAATGTAAATACGAGTTAACGGTATACTTCAAATTTTCTACTTTCGCGTGTAATTGCATATTTGTATGTTTATATATACGAGAACGCGTATAATTTTAGCCACGAAAGCAATTTGGATCAAATCCAATACGGTTATATGCTTTAGCGACTTCATTTGAAAATCCTAAATGAGATTGAGTTCAACTGTGTTTGGCCATTTCCCTATAGAAAGACTTAGCAATTTTCTCAATGCTTGCAATGAGCTGTGAACGCTTTCGTAATTACGAAGAAACCACACCTAATTTGAAAAATTCTAGTAAAGACAATACAATATATGAAAATCGTAAACAACCAACTTTGAACTAGTTCATGTCAAAGTTTCTTTGAGGATTATTTATTCACTAGCTTTTGCCCGCGGCTTCGCTCGCATCGAATCCATCAAATAAATAACTGATATCATTATAGTAGATATGGATCCATATAAAGAATATATTTTATTGCTTGGCTTGGATTACTAAATGCAATGAATTTTCAAATTTTAAAATATACTTTATTGAATCAATACAACAAAGATATATTTCATTATAACGAAATTACATAATTTAGAAATGGAACAAAATAAGAGTAACTAATAATATTTGTGTTATTTCTCTGATTTACGTTTTTTATACATTTATGTTTTCTTTCATTTTTAATTTTTTCGACAAACAATCATTTCTGCCAAACTTTTTTTTTCAATTTCAAAATTTTCAAATTTATTTTCCAAACATATATAATCTTCCAAAATAATTTTTTTAATAATCCGTAAAAAATTTATAAATTTTGTAATTAAAAGTAGTATCCTATGTTCATTCTGACACCTCTAAGAGTATATGTACGAAATTTCATGATGATCTGTTAAGTGGGTTTTGCGTGAAAGCTTAACAAACAAACGGACTTTCGCATTTATAATATTAGTATAGATTCTTTAATAATTGTTATTCAAAATACTTAAGTAATAACTGAAGATCGCTGCCAACATTTAGGCTGATGTTGTTCTTATTTCCGTGCATGCAAAAACTTGATAATTTACGGTATATTTTTTTAATAATTTCTTACTTCAACAGAAATTTAAAGCAAAAAGTTATCACGTTAACAAGTTATAGTACAATGCAAAAAAATTGCTCACATTCAACCAAATGAAACGTAGATGGGGTTAAAGCCTAATGAGTTCTAGGTTTACTCATTAGGCTTTAAGCCTTTTCTAGAGCACAAAGTGAAAATCTAAAATGAGTAAGAATATTGTCAGGGAACAAATTGGTCTCTCTACTCGAAAACGAAGTAGTTATTACCCAAGAAATACTGTAATAATTTTTTCACAAACACTTACATCTCTGCAACACTCATAGAGCTCCAGAAATACAACCGTAAAAGTATACATACCAGCTTAACAAAAGTAATTTAAAATTCCTCAGAAAGACTATATACATTTAACAGCGCTAATAACCTTCAGGAATTCTTTTGAGTCGTAGCAAACTGGTTTAAGAATTTTACAGTTTTTTTCGAAATCCTCAAAATTATTCTAAAAGAGTACTAACATAATATAAATTATATTTTTTATAGGAACAATTTTTGATAAATAGGTAACACAGCTGTAACACATGATTTTAAATACGAGCTTTTTACAATTTGCCATGTCAGCAGAAACCATAATAGTTTCCTTTTTAATTTCCTCGAGTTATAAGACTTTGATGAAACTCAACACTTTCTTCAAATGCAACAAAATTGCAAGAGTGTAAGAACACTAATGCAAATGGAAAACTGATACTATCACAAATAATAATCCAAGCAAATGCAAAGAGAAAGAGCACATGGAAATATGATTACGTATACGCCCTGTAGGACGGATTACTTCGAACTGCATATGCATACTCTCCAGTAAACTCGAGCAAATGCCAGAAAAACAAACGTGCAAATTTTTGGCAAGCAATGCAGGACAATTTTTGTGTACGATATACACTTGTTCAACATTCGATACTCGAATTTTCCATAGGAGAGTTCCACCACAGCCTAATATTGCACTTACTCCTATAAGTAAAATTTCAGCAGTTCAGCAGCATCGTTGAAAAGGATAATAAACTCTCCCTAAAGCCTCTTGTCACTATTAGCTGTGAGCAATTTTAATTTTCCGAAAACGACCAAACTAATCACTGTAATTTACACTGTACAGCAAGACGAAGTGTGTGTGTGGCTAGCAGCGCTTCCTTTGCAATGGAATTAAGTTTATTAAAATTCAATCATAAATTGCTACCTTAATTTGTTATTAAAACACCAACACAGCAAAAATCCGGCAAACGGTAGATAAACAGAATGGAAACTCATACAAATGCATACTTATATAATATGTTTGTATGTGTGTGGTTTACTGACAGTATACTTTCAGATATATGTACATATATTCTCTATATTCATATGAGGTAAAGCATCTGCCGCCGCAACTACAATAGTTGTCTTGGGAAATATGCTAAACAATGGCATATTGTTATGAGGATACATGTATCCTGTCTGCTACTAAAGTTGTGAATTAGTTCAGGCTGCACATCCTTTAGCTACGCATGCGTGCATAATTTTAATCTGTGGAAATGTGTATGTATGTATGTGCATGTACTCGTTCTAATTCTAGACTTTCATTTTATTTATGCTATATGACGCATTTGTTTAAACTTATTTCCAATTAACCATCTCTGGATTACCAAAATATAAAGATAATTCATAGTTTAGAAGAATTTCAAAAGAATTGAACATACAAGTGTTTAACTATACAAATAATACTTTCTCTTATTTTAATTTTAGTGAGTTATAGGTGAATTTGACAGAATTTAATATACAAAAAGTGTTTGACTATACAAATAATATTTTCTCTTATTATAATTTTTCATCACCAAAATTCAAGTCAGAAAAATATGTTAAACTATTTTTTTGCGGGTAAAAAATTATGAAAAAGCAAATTCAGAGTTACTAATTTTTGATCAAACCAATTAAAAATCATGTGAATATACATATATATGTACACAACGTATGCATTCAATTCATAGAACTAAAACAATAAAAAATCCGACTACAAAAAAGAACGGGCGCGTATGTATGTATGTAGAAATAAAACATACTTCATGCAATATATTCCACAATCAAATTGTTTGAATGTGTTCGCTTACTTTGTTGCAGTAAATGCGCTTCATCGCGCTGATACACCATGGGACTGGGGCACGTGGAGCTAGAGTTGGTGGAATCGATCGATTCGTCTATGTTGCAGCGCGTTATGCCGGCCTGAAAAAAACAAGAAAAAAATATTTCTTTCAATAAGATAAATGTTCAATAAATATTTGCATTCGAATATGGTTTTTAATTTGAATCAAAACAATTGCAAAAACTAGTAGTTATTCTAAACCATTACACACCGGATTAATATTAGTAAATTGCTGCTCAATAAATTTCATAAGTAAATTCCCAACTAAATGTTTTCAAAAGCATATTAATACGCTTGAGCGTGTTAATTTATAAATATTGAACTAAAAATAATTTTAAATAAACTTAAACTTTAAAGGACTTTATCACAAACTCCTAATACTTGTAAAGGAATGAAAAGAGAAAAAATTCTCGAGATTTGTATAACTGTTTAGCGAAGACATAAACTGTCACTTGGCCATAACTACATTTCGTAAATACTTCTGTAGCCTTAAACAAGAAATAATGTGAACTTTGGCTGCAACAAAGCTATAATACCCTTGACAAATGCGTCTTATAACGAAAAAGGTTGTGGCAGCTATATGCTATTGTGTTGCGATATAGTAAATGTGTTCGGGAATTGTATATTTGCGTTCCAAATAATCAATACCAAAAATACGTGGCAAATAGTATACCCTTCTCACGGTAAAAAAAAATAAATATGTAAGAAACAAGCATATGTATTTTCTCAACTACATTATATAAAAGAGTTAGGAGTACCGAATATAAACAAACAATAAAACAATGTTTTTGGATTTTAGAAACCTTAATCCATTGACGGATATTAAATAGCCTGAATCATAAATACACAAATTTTATTACCAGCAATTTCTTGGAAATTAAATCTCCATGAAAAGTTAATCGTATATCAATTCCATGAATCTTTTATCTGTATACCAAAAACAATTGTGTTTTCTTTAAAGATTTCAACAAAAATAGCTATTTTTCTTCTGAACTAGTTGGTTACTCGTGAGAGGGTTATTCAAGTTTCACGTACCACGCCATCATTCCCAGAATGAGAGCTAGTGGATGATTTTACTGAAGCTCCTTGAATGATGTAAAAAGACGATATTATATAAATTTCATTCACTTTAATAAAATTCCGTTACGCTATGAAACCTTAAAAAAATTTCAGCCAAGAAGTTAAGTGTTTATAAAAGATCTTGTGCTCTACAGTAGTCACGTAAATGATTTTTTGTCCCATTGATCTACGAGCGTGTAAATAAAAAAAAAATACTTACGCGGCTTATCACTAGAATTCTTCAATCTGCTTATAACACATTTTCTTTAAGCTCGAATCCTTCAGACACATTTTCAATCTTCACTTGCCTTCCCAGCATACTATTATTTTAAATTACCCAACAACAACTATTATGAACACCATTATAACCCTTATAAGTTGCTGTTTAGTAGCCAGTTTGCTTCTTGATTGTTTTTGTTGTTGCCTTATTTGAACTGTCGCATAAGTTTAGCAAATTGCTGTCATTAAATTTTAATAAAAGTCAATTTAAATTTGTATAATATGCTCATCGTTCGTTACACCTACTGTCATCTGCGTGTCATCACACAAGCACATAAACATAATTATTTACTGTGTTCACTGGCTCATGGCTGTGTATGTGTATAGAGTCTCGCACACGCCCTTAACCAATCTCAGCACACTTCAATTACTCTGCTCCCGCTGCGCCGGGTAGTTATGACCTTGGGAAATGTCTGTCAAAACTTGTTAAACTTTCGCACAGCTTGCTTAAACTACTAACACATACATATATACATACATATATTGAATTGCTGTGCGTATGACTGTGGAAGCAATATGTGATGTGAAAATAAACAAAACTTGGCAGCTGTTCAACAAGTTGAGACACTTTGCCGACAAACTCTTTCTGTTTTGGGTCAAGCTTTGATTTAGTTGCAAGAAACTGAGATGCTTTCACGGTCTATTTTTTATTTTGTGCATGCAGAGTGAGAGAAGTCAGCTGATCCAATTATTGAACTGATGCACAAGCTTCTCGGAGACAAAAATATTAGTTCTCACTGTAGCTAAAGGAATAGCTTAAAACAAAATAGGTACCCTTGTTTGAACTGCTCTGATAACTAATAAGGCTTCGCCTATTATGTTGTCCGTATACTCTTGGACACCTGAATCTCCCGTATGCTAAGAAAACGACCGGATATCATCTGTACAAGGTTCTTCGAATGGTTGAAGAAATATCTTTGGTAATAAGAACTCTGACTCAGCCTGAACTTCCATTTATACACACGTGATAAGTTCTGAAAATTTTCCGATCTAAGTGGGGAGCTGGAGTCACTTCACTGTTCCCTTAAATTCTAAGCAAAAGTTTAGAATAGTAAAAATTTGCTTTTACAACTATTAATATAAAAATTACATTATTTTATGGTATGCATTTGATTAACCTACTTACCGCTATTAGGCTGCTGCTCACAACCGCCTTGCCGCCTTTGGTGCTGCTCGTATTGAAATGTTCGATTACCTCCCAGTTTGACTTTTTCGGCGTCGCAGCTGAGTTCTGTTGTGACAATTGTTGGTGTGATGTTTGTTGTGATGGCGTTTGAAGTTCCATTGTGGCCTTTGAAGCACTGGCATGCTTCAACGAGGAAGAGCGATTAAAGAATTTGTGCTTGAGCTTCGGTTCCTCGAGAGAATAGATATGAGAATAAAGCAAAAGTTAATTTCTTCGAAAGCTTTCACTTAAAATTTCTACAAATGTAGAAACTTAACTGACAAATCGACATTATTTGCAGACAAGGTCACACAGTGCTTCTACTGTTTGCTTGTCATGAGTCAAGAAGTAAGATAAAAGCGAACGCGAACGTCGCTGTGAAGTGGGAGAGGAATCGACAAGCTCGCCGAACATTGTAAAACATATTATGTGCAGGCTTGTTAATGTTGTCTGCGCTTTGGAGTGCACTTTCCATTAAAGCCGATATATAAGTGTATGTGTGTGTGTTTGTATGTAAGTACCTACCTCTTTGCTGATGTTGCTGCTGCCAGCACTGCCACCGCGCCGCATACCGCGCAACGACAAGCGCTTGGACCAATCATTTTTCTGGCTCTCCGATGACAACGAACGAAAGATCTGTGCCGAGGCTGCGGCAGTGGCGGTTGCGGATGTCGTCATGCTGCTGTCAAAATGGGTTGGTCGTATTCACGAACAAGCGCGCCGTCCTGAGAGTAAACGAAAGCGGAAAATTGCAATGAGTGATGGGCCAATGCTATTTTTAGCGATTGAAAGTGAACACTTAATAAAAAGATGAAAGTCGCGGTTGGTTTAAGGAGTGATGCACGGTGGAGCATAACATTAATTCCTTCAAGATATTTATGCGTAATTACATGTTTGATCCTAACAAAGCAAGCCTCATAGATTGTGAGCTCTTTTAAGCCGTATGCTTTTGGTTACTTATACGCAGTGTACAACACGAAATTTCTATGATATACTTGTACAGTGATATTCACGTTGCCGGAAAAGTAATATAGTATATATTTATATATAGATTTATTTTAAAAAAATATTTTACAGCGATTTTAAAGGGATTGGAAATTACAGGTTCCTAATTTTCAAACCGTTTTGGAATATAGCAGAAAGTTGAAGAAAAAGCCCAACGATGTTCGGTACAACAAAGCGTCTTAGTCCTCAGTTAGATTTTAGAAACTGAAATACAGATGCCTTTTAGCCTTTACGTAATCTTATCCGATCCTACATGTTGCTTATGTAATAAAAAACTCGGCTTGAAACGAAGCCAATGCCTCCGACAATATATGACATTTACATGTTTTGCGCCAATCACCATACCAAATTAAAGAATACAATCGATTTGTGTGTCACAGTAATAAACATTAATTACCATTAAATTTATTTTCATTAGCAACATTAATTAAAGTACTCCTGGGCCAAACACACGTAGTATTCGACCAATACACAAATATTCGATTACAGCAGACATCACGATTAACCGTAAATATCAATAAAAGCAAACATAAATTTTCTAAACAGCGATAACGGTATAAATTACTACGCACGAATAAGTAAGGTAATTAAAGTCAATGCCTACGAATGCGAGTGTTATTGCTTTGAGTTCGGAATGCTACACACTGACTCAAAGGTATGTAATATTATACCATATATGTGTTGTTGTGTTTACACGGCACTCAAGAGCTTGTAATCTTGTTGTTCCTACACATGTTTGTGCCGCTTAAGAAGGCTTTCCGCAGTGCAATTGTTGTTGCGCTGGGCCAATTTAACGAACGAGCAGCATACACGCGATTGCCAAAATAATGAGAACACAATGCGAGTATTTGCAATAATCTTAGATAACGTTTTATGCACAGAAAAGGAAAGCAGTTGCGTTTATATAGTATGATATTGTATTCAGGGTTGCAAATAATGCAAAATAAAAATATTTAATAGTTATTTTGAAGACATAAAATATAGTTTTTAAACTCTCATGAAGTTGGAAGGCCAATTTATGACGAGCTGTGCCTTAATAAAATACGAAAATGCATTCATAAGTATTTGTGTTTTCCACCATTATCCGCTCTGAATATATAAATTTATTTATATGCACACGTGCCTCAGTATGAAACATATTAACTATTTTTATGCTTTTTAGCCGTGGCTTCAAGCTGATATCATATAAACTAATTGACGTTTAACATTTACGATGGGTATTCGCCCAACTATTCAATTATAAAGCGCACTCACTGTGTACTTAACATACACATATTGAAACTATAATTACATACCCCAGCAGGAGTTTGATGGGGTGTGGAATACGATGGAAAATATTTATAAATAAATTTATGTGTGAATTATTTATAAAGTGTAGTGAAATATAATGAAAAGGCGAGAATAAAATTTCAATTTAATGGCAGATTTATGTGATAAATTTATTAAGTATAGTACGATTGGTACTTTTATTAGAAAGTGTCAGTAAGCAATGCAATGTTCGGTAAGGTTTAAGATATTTTAATGCTTTTAATGCCTACATGGATCTTATGTGAATTGCTTTATATTATAAGTAAAGCGACGGATTTAATTTACTATCAGCGCATCAAAAACTTTTAGTCTATCCAAAAAATACAATATGTAGCGTTATTGAATCGGGAAGTGTTTGCATCTTCTCTAATAAACAAAACAAATCGTTGAGACGTACTTTTCTGCTAAAGGTTATATAAGTAGTGCCATAATGACATTCCTGTCCCTTCAATTCTGATAGACCGTTGATGGACTCAAAATTGCATTTTGGAACCATAATTAATTTAACGATAAAAACATATATCCCCAATATTTCATTTGGAACCATGATATCGGTATATCCCTGGAATATGTTAGTATCAGATTACCAAACGACAAGTATTCTAAAAGCATATACGTGGTAAATTTAATTCACGCCTACTACAAGTTATCATCAGTCTAAAAGAACCAGTTTTAAAAAAATTATACCAAAATGTTTTTCTGGCGCCAAATAAAACAATAAACAAATTGAAGATTAGCCAAATGAAATCTTAGGTATCCCTGTTTAAAATACGTTTTCATTCCATGCGCGTACATTGTCAGTTGATGTCAGAATCACAGTTGTTACATCTGTATTAAATCAACAATTTCTCTTAATTTGTTGCCTACATTTAGGTTTATCACCCCAATAATGTGCTAAAACAGAAAAAATACTCAATGCAATATCTTGTCAAAACGAAGCAAATGTTGGTTTAAGGGGTAAAAAATCGATTATTTTGAATATATTTGAGAATGTTCTCCGAAAATATGAAATTAATTCGGCAAAAAGTTTTGAAGATTTGGGCATATTTCTAGAAACTTTTTAATAAGAGTAATCGGCTCCTAAAGCTTTAAACACATTTTTCTGGAAACGCTGATTTCAGAGTCGATTATGAAAATTTTCCGAAACAGCTCGATATCAACTCTTAATTTTAGCAAAATTAGATGTAGTGTTAGCCAGGTAATAATGAAATTAAAAAAAATTTTGATATTAATTTCGTTTTTTGAAGTGTAAATTTTTTTCACAAACCAATACTCTTTTGAGAAGCCGACATTTTGTCAAAAATTAAAAATTGTAACTACATCTTCGATCGTTACTGGCATTCATTTATAGTTATAAATAAATTTTTTAGGATATTCAATTTAAGATAATTTTAAGCAGAAAGATCTTCCTCAACGCCGAACATCTTTTTTCGGAAGCCCTCTAGGTGATCGGTTCAACGGAATCAAATTTTTTTTTAATATATCGCCGATCAATACAGTACATTAAATTCTGTAAAAAGAAAGGGACTATGGATACTGGATATGTATACTTGCATATCATCTTTTTCCATATTTATGTTAAGTACTCATCTGGTGTGATCTTTATTGGTGGTCCAATAAAACTACCACGAGTAAATCAAATCTTGTACGGATTACAAAAAAGTGGAATATTTCCAAAAATATATATTTACACAGAGCATGTTTACATAACACAGATATGTAAACCATATCATGCCAACAAAGTGAATTAACACAGTTCTATAATAGTTATGCCCATCAAACAACGGCATATAACCCAGCACTACTACTCAATTTACTTAAAAATATTGTATACCAGCTCGACTATGTGCAATTTTTATTATCCGTAAAGTATGTGTATATAAATATATATGCACATAATATAGGGATATGCACGGCTGTTTGATTGACATTTTAATGGCGCACAAAATTGTTGGCTGTTTATTAGTTTAATATTCGGATAATGTTGATGTAGCTGCTAGACGAACAAAGCGCACATAGTTTGCTAATTCTCGTCAGCAGGTATTGTTTATTATAGTTAACAGCTATGTTGCTTTACTTCTCTCATAGATAGATGTAAATTATTTATTATTACTCTCGCAGACGGCGGCGCAAAGCAGCTAAGAAACGGAAAACTAGTCGAAACAGCAAGTAAAGTAATGAAAGTAATAAATTAAATTATTTTCAAATCGATTCATGTTAATATAATTAGTTCATTAATAGATATACTTAGGTCTCATTCATAATGTTTACTCACTTCAAATATTTGCAATTAATCAGTTTGTTCTTTTCTGCTAGAATTGCATAAATCCATTTGAGCACTTGTGTTTCGTGTGTTTGGGGATATAAAGCTTTTAATATTCTCCGAATTTGTTCCATTAATAAATTAAATATTAAGTTCAGTAAATACTTTCTAAAAGAGCATCACTACGTACATTACAAAAAATATGTACCCTTTTTACAAGTCAATTAACACAAAAAAAAAATTCCCAGCCACTACGATGTTAGAAACGCCTTAAGCTTCATTACATACTTTGTTGTGCAGAAATCTAAATTCATTGGCAAAATATTACTCTGTCTTGCAATAAATAAATTTTCATTCGCCTTTGATTCACTGAATTTTATTCTCCTTCTCCTTTTACCATTTCCCCCCACCCGATTGATCCTTTTTCATTTACCGCTCTGCCGTGCAGTTCAACCTTCAACCTTCATCTGTTAGCTGCTTTTGACTTTTGCAAAAAGCAAGGATATTTCCTCAAAACTGTAAGTACCTTTTCCATTCTATCAAACGGTAAAACAACTAAACGAAACGAGTAAGAAAGGGCTAAGTTCGGGTTTAACCGAACCATTTATACTCTAGCAACTTGCAAGAGTCAAAGCCGGCTAAATATCTTCAGATTTTGGCAAAACTTTATATTAAGAAATGTAGCGAAAATGTTCAAGTTCATTGTTTGACGAAATGGTTAATGGACTACAATCACATTTGGTGTTATATTAACTTATTTTGAAGTTCATAGATTCGCTTATTTTTATAACAATATTTTACTTCCAGTGTGTGAAAATTATACTAAAATCATTGGAGGCTTAGATTATTACATCAATTTTTGAAATTGCTCAAGTATACATAAGAAGTTTTTTCAAGCAATTTTATATATATAAACATTGTATGGGGACTAAGGCAAGTTACTGAGCGATATTATCCATTTTAGATACACTGTTCTTAGGAAAACATGCTTTCTTAATTTCCTTAAAATAACTAGCACATTGGCAATATACATATGTGGTATAAAGGCAACTGGAACAGGTTGACCTATATTTTCGGCAAAAAGTCAGCCATACGCACTGGTGTCTACATATTTGGCGTCTGGGTTTTTCAAAAGTTTTAGTCCGATTT